CTGTAAAGATGCAACAAAGGAGGGTCACATCATTGAGATGATTGCTCATTTCAAAGATTTGCAGAAGGATGAACCAAATTTCTTCTATAATATAAAATATGATGTGGAAGGCAGGGCATAGAACATATTTTGGGTGGATGGCTTGACACGAAAAGCTTATGAAGAGGTATATCATGATTATATATCATTTGACACCACCTACATGACTAATATGTACACTTGCTTTTGCCCCATTCATTGGAATCAATCGTCACGGGCAATCATTCATGTTGGATTGTGCATTTGTGAGGCAAGAGGTGGCATCAAGCTTTGGTTGGGTGTTTGTTGCTTTCCTGGAGGTTATGAATGGCAGGGCGCCTGATAACATGATAACTGACCAAGACGTGGCAATGAAACAGTCCATAGAGAATATCTTCTCCATAACCATGCACCGATGTTGTCGGTGCCACATCATGATTGGGTGTTTCGTGAGCTGTATGAGACCTTCTGGAACATCCGAATTCACATTCCACATTATCTTCCAACATGAATGATTGCTTTCTAGATGCTACATCAGATGACCTCGATGCATGAGTAAATTTATTTTCATTGGTGCCATTTTGGTTGATTGACCAATTCTGCACTCAAACTTGTTTATGATTTAGATTCTTTATATATTTAGGAGTGATGTCACATATATTATTTGCCATGACGAGATGACACACCGAAAAGAAGTTGCTTCGTGGGCACTTGTTCCTTGTACATTGCTTGAGGTCATGGCTAGAGTGCCAACATATTTGCCCAACATGTAGAGCTGCAATTATCCCCCAGATAATGGATGTGTAGCGTCAACATGACATCATGGAGCTCATCTTGGAGTTCAACCTGGTGAGCTTGTCTTCATTGGTCTAAGTTTTTAGTTTTGCACTTTCCCATTTAAGCTTTTTTACCAGTTAGTAGTACATTATGCAACCAGTTTTGTATGCCAATCCTAATTCAATGTGAGAAAAATAGGTGTAGGTGCTGATACTCCAAGTTCAGAAGTACCACCAACTGAGAACGTCAACATGCGACAAGCAGAACTTGAGGCTGCTGCTTCAATTGCTTCTTTATATGGGGGGTCATTTGCTTATTCTCCAGTGAACACTTTGAAAAAGGTATGTTTTTCTAGAATAGGTCAAACTTCTAAATGTGAAGTTCTTTATGGTATGCTAGAGATCCATTAGTTATGATAATAAATGCTGGCTCTTTTTTCCTCTGGATTAAATTTGCAACTACCAAAGTTCTTAGATGTCTCACTTGCAAGCTAGACATTGTTAACTTGGAATATATCTTTGAAATTTTCCATTTTACTTATTAATTTTTCAATTTACCTGTGCCATGTTGATGGTGGTTTAAATAGTGGATTACAATTGGTAGAACTTGTTATTTTCCCCGTAATAAATATATGCATGTCGGAGTACTTTTTGTCACTAATCCTTTCATATGGTTGTGCCATTCTTATTTTTTGCACTGTGGTTGTCTCATTGATGTGTTGACCCAAAGAGTGCATTGCGTCAAAAAAAATTATGTATGCATGCCCTGGGAAAACACTAACATTGCCTTTTACTTTTTTGGGGCCTGGGAAGTGGGAACACATTATAACTTAATTGTTATAGCATTCAAGATTAAGTTAACATGCTTTATTCAGTTATGGCCTTTTGAGTTTTGACTTTTTATACAACAAGTTCTTATGTGGCTTACATAGCATCTGGTAGGCTAGGTGGTTGACCAACTTTCTTCATACTTAGCTACCTGAGATTGGGTTAGTCATTGTCACTATGTGTGTAACTTAGCTACCTGATATTCATTTAGTCACTGTCTCTGACATTTTGGTTCAATTTTACGTATGTGTGTCACTTAGCACATATAATATTTCAACTATGCTGGCATTTTGGTCCAATTTTACGTATTTTTTTTCTCATATACCTATATTCAAACAAAATTGCATTGAACTATACTATTCATCTCTAGAACATTGGGTAAGTGTAAATGGGCATTTGATACTGTGATAGAATTATTACGGTTTAATAAACAGGGTGGATTTGGTGAGCACATGGCCACATGGACATATATGTTTAATATGGCATTTGCCTTGTCATGTACATAGTTTTCTATTCATGTTTCACAATTATTACGGAGGCGCATCTCCAATGTTTGTATTAGATTTGTAGTTCTGCAAATGTTGTTTCTTTAGCAAATTGCGAGTGGTGTGATCATAGTAGAAAATGCAAAACTGGAATTTCTCAAATATGCAAACCACAAATTATGGAGATCTACATTAAAGATTCCCTAACACTGATGATCATGTTTTATAAATATCTATTTTTTTAGTTTTGTGTGCAGATTTGCATCTTGGAGATTCGGCTATTAGATTAAAAATTGGTTCTGGTGCATTGAATAAGATGATGTGATCTGTGTTTTTTAGATAAAAGGCCGAGTCCCGGCGTTAAATTAGTGACGCCCTTACAGACCGAAAGGCCACGAAAAACAAGACAAAACAAAAAAGAACAGAGCAACAAAACAGCTCAATATACAAGACACACAAGAAACAACTAATCGGCCGTCGCGAACGTGCCGAACAAAATTAGCCGGATGAAGGTGATGACATGAGAGGTAAATTCATTCCAGTAATTTTTTGAAGCAACTCGCTTCTTTATTGTCTCATTCTTCTATTCCAACAGGTTATTCGCACAACATAACTTAATGAGAATATAAAAATACATCTGGCGGGATCACATTTCTTTGTAGTGTCATACTATAGCAGGGGAGACCATCTATCATACTTTTCAGTTTTGTATAGGTCGTGCTAAGGATTCAACTAACTTTGACCAACGTGATGTGCAAAGATAGAGTCATAGACTATCCGATGAAGTTTATTGTATGTTCTTGTCTTTACCATCATTGTGCTACATTTTTTTCTTATACCATGTTGATATCAAAATAAAGTGCAAGTTGAGTAGGCATTTTTTATTTATGTCAAATTTGACAACAAAAAATGTAGCCTTACCAATCATGCGGTGTAGGTACTAACCAACGCCGTAGAAGGGGGAGGGTGTTAGATGTATGGCCAGGGGCAACATTTGACCCTCGTATAAGGCAGCCCCGGTAGTGCGGCACACGACATCGGCACCATCCGCAACCAATGTCAAAAGGTGGGTCATGGGGACGACAGGAGGAAGAAGACAACATCAAGCATGTAATTTAGAAGAAGGTGGGAGATAGAGGGATGGTCATGGGCAACAGTGGACCTATGAAGAAGGCGGCTCGGGTAGGGTGACGCATGACATCGGCACTGGTCGCGACCACTGTTGGAGGATGGGTCGTGCCGGAAGGAGGAAGATGAAGAGGAGGAGGAAGGAGACGATCATAGCAATTTACCACACAAAAAAGCGACTGGTGCATAGTTGCTCTCATAGTATCCGCTAGAGAAATTGATAGAAAGTGATATATATTCAAAGGACTTCACTATGTCACTTAGTCATCGGTTATTCATTTTCCCGTATTTTTTTCATAGCAACACATGGGCATTCTACTAGTTCCCCATTATGTTTATATGGTTTTGGTGTATTTAAGAAGAGAAGAGATATACAATCCGGAAGTATAATTGTACGCACAATTAGGTTAAACTTATCTTAACAAGTTAAACATGGAATCGATTTTTCTAAACCAAATGGTTTTCGCTTTGGAAACAACAACAAGAAACCAAGCTGTCGCCGGGAGAGCTGAGCCTTCTGGTGCCGTCCTCCGGTGACTCCCCTCCGCTGACGACTTCTCGTTCGGTGGTGGTGAGGGAGTCGTTGGATCTCGCATGTGCGAATTGTGTAATTTTTTATTTTAGGCCCCTAATAGCTTAGGTTTTGGGTCGTTTGACGTCTTGGTTTCGGTGACACCGACACGGAATAGAGAAGCTCCAGATCCTTCCCTGACGAGGCGAGATCGTCTCTATGGTCATGATGGATTTGGGAACTATTTTGTTCCCTTGAGTATCCTTGTGGTGGACTTGTGTCCTCGGGCTCCGCCATTGCAATGTCATCCGCTCCAACGTCAACATATTGTGGTCCGCTCCACAATGGGAGGTAGTCCAGGAGCGGATGCATATTGTGGTCTACATTGACGGCATCTGGAAGACAGATCGTGTGTTGCGTTCGTGGTTGATGACTAATATGTACTCCCTCCGTCCTTTAAAGAGTGTACTTCCAACTTTATTGGAGGGTCAAAGTATCTCAAAGTTTGACCGAGTTTGTGCAAAAATATATCAATATTTCTGAAACCAAATAGGTAGAAGATGAAAATATATTTTATTATGAATCTAATGTTACTAATTTGATGGCATAAATATTAGTGTATTATTTTATATACGGTCAAACATAAAAATGTTTGACTTTCCAACAAAATTGGAAGTACACTCTTCAAAGGACGGAGGGAATATGGTTTACTCCTCTGGCGTCTTAGTCATGCGGGGGTGTCAGATCTAGAGCTCGATGACGTGTTCGAGGTACTGCCTCAGTCAGATTCTTTCAATAGCAATGGCTTCGCCTTTGGGAAGCTACTTTAGTGGTTCGCAAAGCTGCGTATCACCGATGGCTGATACGGTTGTGCCGGAGGCAGGTGATGGGGGTTGAATTTATGCTCACGGGAACTTCAATCTTGATTGTAATTTTTTTTTCTTGGTTAACAGTCCTTTGTGCATAGGTTAGTGTTTTGATATCTTTCTAGCGAAGTCAAGCCCATGTCTACATGGCTTGTACCTTGACATTTATTTTATAAATGAGACATGTATCACCGTGCAAATATCAGTCAACAATCAAAATATCTCAGAAAAATAGAAAATAGACTATAATACTCTTTTATTTAATAATAATGGGGTGATTTTAAATCTCCACCATTGACTATTTAAGGAAGTGTACTGAAGCGGAAACCTTATTCATACGCATGTAGTCTGCCCGCAACGGGATCTGCCTACATCAAGCAAGCATCTTCTAGGTAGCGAAGTTCTGCTGGGTGTAGCAGTTGAGGTTGTCCCCGGTGGCCGTGCCGAGTATGCCGCAATAGCGCGTGTAGTAGCCGATGCGGTCGACGTTCGAAGGGTTCATGCCTTTGCCACAATCGATCCCGCCGTTGATGATGTTGGTGATCACTCCGTAGCCGGGAACCCGCCCAGCGGCGGTATCGGCGGCCGTCGGCGTCCAGCGGCGGAGGGCAACGTCGTGGCACGACGGCTTGTTGTCCTGCGCCGTCATCCAGAACCACATGGCCGTTCTGAAGGACACCTCGGCATCCGTGGACACCAGGTTCGGGTTGTTTACCAGATCCAATTTCAGCGCTTTGCCGGCGAGATCGTAGTTGGACTGCCTGGTCAATCAATCACACGAGGAATCATGGGTTCATCAGAACAATCTTGTCGTGTCTGTGCTTATTATTTGCATCATTAAGCATGTCAACGCTGCTGTACTACTTTTCAAGCAGTTTTTTCTACAGATACTTTCAGCCTATGATATATTCGTGTTGACCAATACATCATTTTGCATGAAGATAGTTCAGAGATTGCCCTATAGTATTGTACTCCCTCCGTCCGAAAATACTTGTCATCAAAATGGACAAAAAATGATGTATCTAAAACTGAAATACATCTAAATACATCGTCTTTTATTCATTTTGATGACAAGTATTTCCGGGCGGAGGGAGTAGAAAATATTTAACTCGCGATTTTGCTTACCCTGTTAATTGAATCGGTCCCCGTCCATAGTAGGGTGCAAGCATGGTCTTGTCTATCTGGTCCTTGAAGCAGTAGCCCCATTGGAACTGGGGTCCTCCTACACGTTGACACGCCATGCACAAACATATGTACGACTAATCAAGGCAGTCATGTCCGAATCAAAAGTGCCACGAACGAATTATAATAAACAAACAACCGCAATCAACACCGACTGACGTACCGGTGGTCTCGTGCGAGGTCTGGCCGAAGAAGGCAGCGAGCTCGCGTTTCACGTCGTCTGCGCTGCCGGTGGTGCCGAACTCCGGGAAGGTGCTGGCGGCGGCGATGAAGGCTTCGTACGTGTAAAACCCCTTGGCCTCGCAGATGGAGTCGTCCCGGTGGGGCAGCATGGTGTCGTACACCTGCCGCGTGATGACCGAGCCCACGCCCTGCGCCGCCGCGCCGCCCGCCGCCACGGCGAGCAGAAGCACGGCGGCGCACACCGCGAGCATGACAAACCGCACCATGCTAAGTACTAACTAGCTCACCTTCAGCTGATCAGCTTGTAAGATGCCTGTGTGGCGAGGAGGTTGTTGCAGAGCTATTTATAGATGCTCTGCTCGGGTGCAGCGCAGAGGAAACGCCGTGAGGGACGATGCACGGTTCCACTCCACGCGCGTCCCGTCAGTCCGTCACGTATACTTCCTCCGTCCGAAAATACTTGTCATTAAAATGGATAAAAGGGGATGCATCTAGACTAGATGCATCCCCTTTTATCCATTTTAATGACAAGTATTTCCGGACGGAGGTAGTACTTTTCTACTTTGCGACCATCTTCTTCTTTGCAGGGAGAAAATTTGACGGGCCGCGGTGACAGGGCGATGGACGCATGCGCGTATCGTTCTCACTCACGCAGAGCACTGCGCGAATTCCACACGTCCGCACAAGCAAGTTCTTTTCAGGGCGTTGGAGATACGCGCCGATTTCTTCCGACGGTGTACAGCGCATGTGGATGGGGGAACTGGAACAAGCGTGTACGTCGTCGGCGGCTGGTGGAAATACACTGGCTTGACGTCCAACGATCGAATCCAGATCACTCAAGCCATCAGATACCACATGGACGGAACAGGAGTCTCCCCCGCCGTGGCCCTCCGCCGATGGCGAGGGGTTGCCGTGGATCGTTTTTTTCTACTCTTGTAGTTTAGGTTTTTTGTTTGTTCATTGTTCTGGCTTCGGCGGCGGCGATGACGGCGCTGAATAAAATTTCTTCATATTCTACTCCGATGAGTCGATCGCTCCTATGGTTTTGAATGAATTTGGAAACCAGACTGTTCAAGTAAGGATGATGATGGTGGCATCCTTGTGGTGAATATGTGTCCTCGGGCTTCGCTGTTGCGACGGCATTTGCTCCAACACCACCGTGGAGCTTGGGAGGTAGTCCAGTAGCGGATGCAGATTGTGATCTGCATCGGCGACATATTGAAGATGGTGAATCGCGAGCTGGGTTCGTGGTCCGTGTTTCGTGGTCCGTGGTTCATGGATGGAAGGTATGATTTTCTTCTCCAACGTCTTAGTCATGTGGGGCGCTAGATCTGCAGTTCGATGGCGTGTCCGGGGTGTTGCCCCGGTCTGATTCATTCAACGGTAATGGTTTCGTCTTTGGTGAGCCACCTTGGAGGTCCGTAAAGCTATATATGAGCGATGGAGCCGCTTCAAGTTTGGGTGGGAAGGTGGTCCGTCATTGTTTTTTTTGGTTGTTTTGTGCTGGTGCTAGAGGAAGGTGACATGCGTTGGTGTCAAGTTCAGAGGATTCTTCGGTCTTAATTTAATTTTACTTTTTGGGTGGTTTTCCTTTATGCAAAAGCTATCGTTCTGTTATCTTCTCAGTTTTGCCAGGTTGATGTGTACGTGGCTTATATTACGATATAAATGAGGCACGTATTACCATGCAAAAAAACAATAGATTCGTTTAGCCTTGATATAGATAACAACATAACAATATATAGAATTAAGTATTCACTGAAGTGAATCAACTAATCAACTAATAAATGCCTCCGTGAAGTTGTCGGCCGCAGCTGGTGTAATACTAACTTCCCCGACCTCCTCACCGAGGTCCAGTCGTCCGCCCCGTCAGGCCACCACATTAGGTGGCTGCTCATTGCGGTCCTTGCTTGAACGCTTTGGACCGTGCGCAACAAGCTTGTCATCCAGCGTGTTCCTCTTCGACGTGCCACCTATGCGGTCTTCAAATTGTGTGGTTACTTGCAGCTCTGGCGGCCACTTAGCCGTCACCAGGACTGGGACGCCATCAACACCATCATCGCCGACCTCCGCTCGATGGCTCTTCGCTTGGCGCCGCCGCTTCCTCCTCCACCACCCGAGCCATACTAGACTCTTTAATGTTGTTGTGGTTGCGGTTGTTCCGCCTTTGTTTTCATTTTAGGGCTTGTTGAGTTGTGCCCTCAACAGAACCCTCTTGTACTCTTTGTTGTGAGATTTTGTGTGTGTGGCTGAACTCTTATGGTACTTTGTGGCTGTGGTGGTTTGCTTTATTTATAAAGCGGGGCGAAAGCCTTTTTGGTAAATAGGAGCATATCATAACTTGACAATTCTTGTATTCAGAAGAAAAAAAACTAGCCTTTTACAATATGTTCCAAGGCTTTTCTCTTACA